CAACAAAAAACACGAATATGTAACTTGTATGTAATATGTAATATGTCAGGTTTAAGGCACAAACATGTTTGGATAACATGAGGGTGAGTAAATATGGACACGTTTCATTTTTGGATGAACTATCCTTTCAAGAGCAGATGATACTTTGGGTCTGGGCACAATTACTGACTGATGCACAGGACACATACATTATATTAAATATTACATTATAAGACAGCGTAGCCATAATACATTTTCAGCACATAGTAAAACAACAATAAAACCAGTCTGGATTAATTCACTTATAAAAAGTGGTGCTTTGTAATACTAGTTTTTTTGGGGGACATGTACCATTATAATATCATAATAATCTTTGAAGTACCTTGTAAATATCAAGGTGTATGAATAATATTGGTAATCATTTAGTGGTTATATTCATTACCATTACCGTACCATTGTTCCTCAACAGTACTTTTATGTAGTTCAAACTGTAAAATATTGGAATATTCAGAATGACATGCACCTCCTGTTCAGAAGCGTGAAAATAAAACCACTTTGTTGCGTATTTCAAGCAACTCAATTGCGTTTAATAGAGCGCAAATGTGACACAACCGGAAAGAGATATAAACAAATTTTGTCAGTTTAGAGAGGTCAAATTGTGCTAATCTAGGACGTCCTTTAAAACACAATGCTTCCATGTAACAGTAATAGCCACAGTCCCGTCAATAGAGGCTCCCACAGCTCTACTGACTAAACGTGCACAACACACACACACACACACACGTGATATTTCACTATAAAAGCGTCCTCATAAATACACTTATACACACACGGTTATATATTGTGTTTAATGAAGTGTGTGTTGTTTTGTATCTGCTGTGTTTCTGAATATGTCTGTATCCAGGAGAAGACGTGGTCTACAATCAACAGAGATCTGATCCTGATTGGTTCAGTCCTGTCTCTGGTTACAGTTATAAAGACCACTTCAAACCAATGAGTGTCATTTTGTTCAGCTGTCTTGTTCTCTTGTGATTGTGTCTTCTTTTGAGAAACTCGCTGTTAGTCCTACTATACGATTCTTAGATTTGAATTTGGATTTGTTTGCCTTCAATTGCAAAATTTGTGTAAATATTAAGGAAGTAGGGAGTGTGACAGCATTTCTTTTGTACATATCGTTCTGTTTTGGGGTTACAGGAGTTACGGAAGTATCACTGTATCTTCTTTTGATGTGTTTTTCTTTCGTTTAGGTCATTCAGAGGGTTTCAGTTGAGCTATTTGTGTCTGTTATTTTGGCCTGGTCTATTCCTGAAGTCGATCCCTTCATTTGTGGATTTCTTTGTTGTGTTATGAATAGATCTGTTGTCTGTTTGGCATTGACTCATGAGTGAGCTTCCTCTGTTTATGTTCTGCACAGATGAATTGTACAGGTTTGTCTGCTCATAAAGCACATATGCCAGATCTCTCTCACACACACCTGTATAACCGATGACAGACGACGAGGTGTTTGAGAAAATGTTTGTAAACAGTTATTATTTTTGCACATTTGTTCAGTGACACTAGAGATGCAGAAACGACACACTGTAGCTTTACAGGGTTTTTATTATTATTTTAAAGATGCTAGGAGTTGAGTTTCTCAATACTTGGGTCACTTTTTCAAAACTCTTCACACAGTTCTTCTTACCCTCTTTCACCTTGACACAGCAGTCAATTCCAGATTCAGAATGCACTAAAACTACCAAAACTCTTCACACACACGTCTCAAATCAAGTCCAAAACACCAGCAAAGCTTGTAACCCAACAAACACACTTTGTCACTCATAAAGTGTGTGCTGTGTCTGAGATGGTTTAAGTGCACACACCTGAAACACACACACATAAAGCTGCTTCACTCAGTGTGTGAGTCCTGAACTCAGCTCTTGTGTGTGTGTGTGCGCTCAAATACACTTATGTATCCAAATGCCCGTCTTTGCTAGTATCCTCATAAACAGTCCTTTATGTCTTCTTGTTTATATTTTTTTATATTGAAATTGATGACAAAAATTCTGATATAAAAAACTAAAGCAAAATAACTATAGCTATATTAAATAACTACATTGATAGTTAATGATATATGTGACCCTGGAGCACAAAAGCAGTCTTAAGTCGCTGGGGTATATTTGTAGCAATAGCCAACAATACATTGTATGGGTCAAAATTATTGATTTTTCTTTTATGCCAAAAATCATTAGGATATTAAGTAAAGATCATGTTCCATGAAGATATTTTGTACATTTCCTACTATAAATATATCAAAACTTAATTTTTGATTAGTAATATGCATTGCTAAGAACTTCATTTGGACAACTTTAAAGGCGATTTTCTCAATATTTTGATTTTTTTTGCACCCTCAGATTCCAGATTTTCAAATAGTTGTATCTCGGCCAAATATTCCAAAAAATTACGTTTTATATGACTCGCAGTTTTTTTCAACTGCTTACACACAAAATCTTTACTTGTCACAATTTCTGAAAGCTGACACTCAAACACCAGAAGCACACACCAAATCTGCAAAACCATACGCTATTTCTCAGCCTTTGACTCAGTTTTCAATTTCATAAAACACTTTTTAGCAAAACACAACACAATTCTCTATGTAACTCACAAACATCTAACAGGAATTAATATTATGGCAAAGGTGTTTGCAAATGTTTGCTTTTGAGATGTGTTTGTGATATTTTGAATGCAGTGCTTCATTTTGCAAGAGATGTGAAGCATTTAGCATTTTGTGTGTGCAATTATTGGATTTGTGTGTAAAGTTATGAAAAAATGAGGCAAAGTTTTGAAAATGTTGAATACAACTGTAATATTGCACACAAAAATGTATTTAAATTGATTTCCAGGTCATTTTTGGCCTATTTAAAGGGCATTTTCCCTAACCGTATTAAATGCATGCATCATCTTTCATATTAAATTATTACATTTTGTTAATAATTTCACTTAATATAATAAGACAATATAGGGCTGTTTTTTTATTATAATTTTTTTAAATACACAAATATGAAATGTTTTTAAAAAATGCAAAGTTAAGCTAGTATGAAAGTTAGCCGCCAGTAGGTGGCAGCACGTGACTGTCTTAATTAATGAGCTTGCCTTCAAACGATTCGTTCAGATGGCTGATTCAGTCAAGAACGAAGCAAGTGCGTGCCCTGCATCCCAATGTGCATACTACACATCCTAAATTCTGTGAAATTACTATTTAGGGCAGATAGGGTGCACATTGGGACGCAGGGCCTGTTGTTATGAATAGACCACTGAATCATTGACTCAAATGATTAAAAATTCAAAAACGCGAATAATTCAGCACCGAAAAACCGCTGTGTGTTGCTCAGATGCGCGACTGTTCTGCTGTGATCTTTGTATGGAACTATTTTCATTAACCAAATCGAGCAAAAACAGTCAATGTTAGCAAGTTATTAAATATTTGACTCATTCATTAAAATCACTGAATCATTAACAAATGAAAGTGGACTTAAAAGAAATTATTCATTCACGTAAGCCTATATTTGTTTACAAACAATGATTCATTACTCAATGAAACACCACTAATTATTATATCTTTATAATTATACTTAATATATAGACTACAGTATTAACGACTTTAAATTTACTGTTGTAATTAATACAGAGATAGGCGTTTGGGCAAATAGCACTAATGACTCGTTTGGGACTTGAAGCTTAAAGTTGAGGACTTGCAACTCGACTTGGACTTGCTCGGTTTGACTCGGGACTTGACTTGGGACTTGTCGGTCTTGAAACTTACAGATTAAGGGGCGGTAATATTATAATGAGATCCCTTTGCCACGTCACCAAGGGAGCGAAATCAGACGCGCTCATTTTCTCAGATGCTTGCAGAAAAAGGCTTACCAAAACAAAGTTACTGGGTTCATCTTTTTCACGTTTCCTTGGTTGGTAGATGTACCGGGGACCTGATTATAGCACTTAACACCTGGAAAAGTCAGATTTTCTAAATATGTCACCTTTAAAGGGCACTTATTATGCCCCTTTTTGCAAGATGTAATATAAGTCTCAGGTATCCCGAGAATGAGTCTGTGAAGTTTCAGCTCAAAATGCCCCACAGATCATGTATTATATCATTTTGAATATGCCTATTTTGAGTGGAAGCAGAAACAGGCTGTTTTTGTGCATGTCTCTTTAAATGCAAATTAGCTGCTGCTCCCCGCCCCCTTTTCCAGAATAGAGTTGTACCTTTAAAGCTCGTACCTCAGATATTCTGCCAAAAACACCTGTTTGGTTTTGATTATCATGTCTATCGCGCTGAAATTATGCGTTTTAAATCCATATCAGTTTATACTTGTGATACAAAGCGGCTGCCACACGGCATGTGAGTACTAAACGAAGTTCCCTTTCACACACAAGTTTATATTAAAAACACGCATAAGTTACAAAAACACAGTTGGTTATGACTGTGAAGGTAAACAGCTGGGAAAGATATTACATGTTTAAATTAGATGTATTAAGTGACAGCAGTGTAATATTCAGTACATATACTGATGTCTATGCTGATAATATAACCCAAACAATAAAATAAAAGCAGAAAATCACTCACTACTCTGGACTGAACAACTTTTATAGCTGTAATAAGAAGACATTTCTTACTTGCTTTTAAATGCTCTAGCGTGAAGATAAACATGGCAAATTGTGTTCGGTTCACTCACGGCGGGGTCTCTGCTAATACAGCAGTGTCTGTCGTGGGCAGGGCTTGTAAAATGTGATGTCACACTTTACGGATTCTGTGATCGGCTTGCTCCGAGACACTGCTTATGATTTATGGGGATTAAAAAAGAAAGGAGCAGGTGGATTTTTATCATTATAGTGTGGTTGTGTACACACCCTGCCAACGCACATTTGTGTCCAAACAACATGTAAAAGTGAATTTTGCATAATAGATGCCCTTTAAAGGAATCTGTCGTAGAATCCCACCTCATTGAAACATGGCTTCAGTGGGTTACTTCCCAACTTACTTGAGTTTATCCAGATGTTTGAGTGTATCAGAGAGCAGCTTCACTCCTGAATCTCCTGGGTGATTGTAGCTCAGATCCAGCTCTCTCAGGTGTGAGGGGTTTGAACTCAGAGCTGATGCCAGAGCAGCACAACCTTCTGCTGTCACCAAACACTGAGATAATCTACAACAACAGTAGTTTCAAGTTAGTATGCTCCATTTTTAGAGATATACAATTTAATAAACAACAAACCTCTTCTACTGGTGGCCTTTGATTTTAATGATATCACTGTGCTGCATGACACATAAGAGTACACTCAAAGAGTCCCTAAGCCAATTTTGCATCGTCTCAGCTGTGTGCTTAGAATTATTGGGTCTCATTCACTAAGTATGCGTAGGCACAAATTTGTGCATGAAACATGCGTATGAATGTTTTCACGAACAAATTATGATTCACTAAAACTTTCGTACTAAAATGTATTCTAAATTTAAGAAAAAACATAGGAACAACTGAAAGCACACGTACGCAAAAAAAAAAAAAAATCACACTCTGTCCAGACTTAATAATCTATATAATCTATACAGTGGAATGCGAAAGTTTGGGAACATCTTACTCAGGACAGTACTAAACAAGTATGTGTAGGCACAAATTTGTGCATGAAACACAACAAACGAACAAATTATGATTCACTAAAACTTTCGTACTAAAATGTATTCTAAATTTAAGAAAAAACATAGGAACAACTGAAAGCACACGTACGCAAAAAAAAAATCACACTCTGTCCAGACTTAATCTATATAATCTATACAGTGGAATGCGAAAGTTTGGGAACATCTTACTCAGGACAGTACTAAATAAAAAATAACATGCATTATGTATGATCTCTCTAATTTAGTTAAAATTATTCACATTTTCACAGATTCTGCAAGGGGTTCCCAAACTTTCTCATGCCACTGTATATAGGCTAGGTGATTTGAGCCTGTGGGGAAGTTGATCCACCCCTTGTTACTAGACAACCTTAAACGAAATTGGTGATATGACCACAAATATATGAAGAGTTATACATTTTACTCACCCTGTGATAGAGAGATGCCCATGGAATACTTGGTAACTACATTTAGGTTCAAAAAACTGTTTTTTTGCTGTTCAAAGTGATTTTTGTATGTTCAATGACTCTTGTGTCTAAACATTTACAGAAAAATCTGAAAACAAATATATATATATATATATACATACATACAGCAACTGAAAGCACACGTACGCAAAAAAAAAAAAAAATCACACTCTGTCCAGACTTAATAATCTATATAATCTATACAGTGGAATGCGAAAGTTTGGGAACATCTTACTCAGGACAGTACTAAATAAAAAATAACATGCATTATGTATGATCTCTCTAATTTAGTTAAAATTATTCACATTTTCACAGATTCTGCAAGGGGTTCCCAAACTTTCTCATGCCACTGTATATAGGCTAGGTGATTTGAGCCTGTGGGGAAGTTGATCCACCCCTTGTTACTAGACAACCTTAAACGAAATTGGTGATATGACCACAAATATATGAAGAGTTATACATTTTACTCACCCTGTGATAGAGAGATGCCCATGGAATACTTGGTAACTACATTTAGGTTCAAAAAACTGTTTTTTTGCTGTTCAAAGTGATTTTTGTATGTTCAATGGCTCTTGTGTCTAAACATTTACAGAAAAATCTGAAAACAAATATATATATATATATATACATACATACAGGGGGGAAAAAAAGAATATAGTCAACCACTTTCTCATGCCACTGTATATAGGCTAGGTGATTTGAGCCTGTGGGGAAGTTGATCCACCCCTTGTTACTAGACAACCTTAAACGAAATTGGTGATATGACCACAAATATATGAAGAGTTATACATTTTACTCGCCCTGTGATAGAGAGATGCCCATGGAATACTTGGTAACTACATTTAGGTTCAAAAAACAGTTTTTTTGCTGTTCAAAGTGATTTTTGTATGTTCAATGGCTCTTGTGTCTAAACATTTACAGAAAAATCTGAAAACAAATATATATATATATATATACATACATACAGTGGGGAAAAAAAGTATTTAGTCAGCCACCAATTGTGCAAGTTCTCCCACTTAAAAAGATGAGAGAGGCCTGTAATTTTCATCATAGGTATACCTCAACTATGAGAGACAAAATGAGAAAAAAAAATCCAGAAAATCACATTGTAGGATTTTTAAAGAATTTATTTGTATATATATATATATCATGCATGTGTTTGTGCTTTAGGAAGTCATAACATGAGGCTATATTGTTAGCATGATTTTACCTCTAAACTGCTGGATGATACAAGTTTGTTAAAATGGTAGGAGTGGGGTAATTTGAGCCAAAGGTCCTGGGGTAAGTTGAGCCAGTGGCTCACCCCCTCTTATGATTATAAAGTGTTATTTTACTGTAATTCTACTATCACGAATCCTGTCCGTGGTCTTCCGCCTGCTCGCCACCAGAGGTCGCCTTCCGATTATATTGACTCTCACATTACACAGACTGTTACATGTCACCCTGGACTACATTTCCCCTGGACTACATTCAGCCGATTACACACACTATGAAAACGAGACTCTAACCACAGTTCAAGGCCGAGAATTGTTTGCGCATATCGCTACGTCAGTGATAGCAATGTTACGCAACCATTCCGAGTTTAGCCTAGTTCCTAGTCTTAGTCTTTGTCTCGCCTTGATCTAGCTTGTTTTCCTGAGTCTTGTATCTTAGCCTGTCTCCTCATTTTGTCTGTTTGCTGCCTGCCCCGGAACCATAGCCTGCCCTGGATTACCTTTAGTATTGCCTTCTCTGACTTTGCTTGTACCTCACCTGGACTGTTGCCTGTCTGTGGATTACCCGTTTGCCTCACCCTTTGGATCATGTTCGCCATCGATTGATCCACGCCTGTTTACCGGACTACTCTTCTCTTCTGTCTTGCCCTCAATATACCTGTGCGCCATTGTCCGACCCTTGCCTGTGTTGACCATGTATTTGAAAAAAGCTTCGCCTCTCGTCTCATTCACTCCGTAACACCTACATTATATTTCATTAATTTTACACCAAACATGATTTTGTTCTTTGTTTTGAGCTTGACTTTGTTCTGTACATTTTAAATTTACAGTTCAAATTCATCAATTTGAACTTTTTATTCTGAAATTTTTAAATAGTTTAAAAAACACCTTCAGAGTTGTGAACTGTATCTTTAAATAAAACATTTAAGAAGTCATCCATCCATCCATTCTATTATCCAAACCTCTTTGTCCTTATTAGGGTCGTGGGGAGCTGGAACCTAACCCAGCGTCTTTAGCCACAGGTGAGGGAACTCCCTGGAAGTTCCTTGGTCTTTGCACATTTTGTCAATACATACAAGTAATAGAACATTACACTAACATTCTAACAGACTAACACATTTCAAACCTCCCGCTTAAGTACCTCAGTATGTTGAGTTGACAGTTAGGACTCTTCAGTCCAGCACAGAGCTGCTTCACTCCTGAATCTTGCAGGTCATTGTTACTCAGGTCCAGCTCTCTCAGAGAAGAGTTTGATGATTGTAGAGCTGAAGCCATGATTTCACAGTGCTGATCAGAGAGATGACAGCTTGACAATCTAAACAGGATCATGAGAATCAATCCATTACATACTGTACACAATGTATACATACCACATTAAACTGTATACATTGTCTCATGTTTTTGAGAAGAAAGTGTCCCATTGTGATGTTCACAGCTATCTTCTATAAAGTTAATGACAACATCAAATATGGATTAACTAATTATGGATCATTGATAATGGCTACATTATCATTATGTTTCCATTCAATAGCTGTATAGATAATAAAGCATTCATGATCAGAGTAGCTAATTACAGGTGAAAGTAGGGGTGTAACGATATGCTCAGGTCACGATACGGTACGTATCTCGATACTGGGTTCACGATACGATATTTTAAACAAAATTTAAAATGGAGCTGTTCCATCATGTTACCACATCCATGATAAGCTTATGTGATGCGATCTCAAGCATCTTTTGCTTTTCCGCGAGCACAGCTATTGCTGTGGCACTGCGGTAAAAAAAAGCCACGACTTTTCTCACGCGACCAAGCAAGCGACTGACGCGAGAAACATTTAAACCTGCTTGCGATGCAAGATTCAATGTGTGCACGAAACACTTAATATGCGGTGACAACCCGGCTTCTCTCACTGCCACCTCCATGTTGCGTGCGTTGTCACTAACAACAGCAGTACTATGAGGAGCCCTTTCAAGCTCCCAATCTTGTATAGCCGCTTTTAAAACTCCGGCTATTAGTTCCAGTGTGTGACTCAAAAAGCGGGCGAGTCTGAAGCACAAAACTTTTAATTTACCACTCCGTCGTAATAACATGCGCCGTGACTGTAATAGCTCTGACAAGCCCGCGAAGTCCACCCGTCAGTCGTTATTGCCACATTCATCTGATTTTTTCAGACCGGCGACCACCTTTGCTTTAGCTTCGCAGTACAGGGCTGGAACTACCTCTTGACTGAAGTGCGGGCACGAAACTTTTAATTTACCACTCCGTGGTAATAACATGCGCCATGACTGTAATAGCTCTGACAAGCCCGCGAAGTCCACCCGTCAGTCGTTATTGCCACATTCATCTGATTTTTTCAGACCGTTGACCACCTTTGCTTTAGCTTCGCAGTACAGGGCTAGAACTACCTCTTGACTGAAGTGCGGGCGTGACAGAATATGGTATCTGGGCTCCATTACGCTAACCAATTCGCGAAATCCAACATTCTCGACCACAGAAAATGGTCTCATGTCTTTTGCAATAAAAACTCCGATGCATCTGGTTATTTCTTGAGCTTTCGCACTTGACTGAGACCATGTTGCAGCAAAACTGCGATGTACAGATGTTTGGCCTTCTTTCACCCTTTTTGTGGCAGGAGTTTGTTGTTGTGATGCCGTTTTAAATGGCACATCATATTCGAAGTGTTTGACGTTGTGTATGGCAGCCTTGTTTTACAGTGTTTACAAACAGTTTGTGTTTTGTCTGTAATTTTTTTTACCGTCGTCCTGTCGCGTGACTGGAAAACCAAAATGCTGCCAGACGTCGGACTTATAAGACGACGGGGCATCTTCAATTTCAGTTTCAGCCAAACTCATGTTGCCCGACTAGTGCTCAGTTTAAGCGATTTCTGCAACTGCTAGGAAAGCACACGCGACGCTGTTGCAGAGTAGGTCATGTCGGCAGCTCAACCAATAGGATTAGACTGCCGTCATATCGTAAAAGTATCGCCACCACTCTACGATACATATCGTAACATTTTTGCATCGCGAAATATCGTACTGCAATATATCGTTACACCCCTAGGTGAAAGTGCACTTATAAAAGTGTAGGACGAAAAAAACATTAATCTAAAAGTATAATATATATTGTATTTACTCACACATTATTATTATTAACATATTAATGAATCAATGTGAAAGTCAAACCTCAGTATGTTGAGTTGACAGTTAGGACTCTTCAGTCCAGCACAGAGCTGCTTCACTCCTGAATCTTGCAGGTCATTGTTACTCAGGTCCAGCTCTCTCAGAGAAGAGTTTGATGATTGTAGAGCTGAAGACAGGATTTCACAGTGCTGATCAGAGAGATGACAGCTTGACAATCTAAACAGGATCATGAGAATCAATCCATTACATACTGTACACAATGTATACATACCACATTAAACTGTATACATTGTCTCATGTTTTTTGAGAAGAAAGTGTCCCATTGTGATGTTCACAGCTATCTTCTATAAAGTTAATGACAACATCAAATATGGATTAACTAATTATGGATCATTGATAATGGCTACATTATCATTACGTTTCCATTCAATAGCTGTATAGATAAAGCATTCATGATCAGAGTAGCTAATTACAGGTGAAAGTGCACTTATAAAAGTGTAGGACGAAAAAAACATGAATCTAAAAGTATAATATATATTGTATTTACTCACACATTATTATTATTAACATATTAATGAATCAATGTGAAACTCAAACCTCAGTATGTTGAGTTGACAGTTAGGACTCTTCAGTCCAGCACAGAGCTGCTTCACTCCTGAATCTTGCAGGTCATTGTTACTCAGGTCCAGCTCTCTCAGAGAAGAGTTTGATGATTGTAGAGCTGAAGACAGGATTTCACAGTGCTGATCAGTGAGATGACAGCTTGACAATCTAAACAGGATCATGAGAATCAATCCATTACATACTGTACACACTGTATACATACAAAATTAAACTGTATACATTGTCTCATGTTTTTGAGAAGAAAGTGTCTGCATCCCATTGTGATGTTCACAGCTATCTTCTATAAAGTTAATGACAACATCAAATATGGATTAACTAGTCAAGTCAAGTCACCTTTATTTATATAGCGCTTTTAACGATACAGATTGTGTGAAAGCAACTGTACAGCATTAATTAGGAAAATATTGTGTCAATAATGCAAAATGATAATAGTAAACACTCAATTTTCAGTTAAAGGCAGTTCATCATTGAATTACCTAACTAATGATGGATCATTGATAATGGCTACATTATCATTACGTTTCCATTCAATAGCTGTATAGATAAAGCATTCATGATCAGAGTAGCTAATTACAGGTGAAAGTGCACTTATAAAAGTGTAGGACGAAAAAAACATGAATCTAAAAGTATAATATATATTGTATTTACTCACACATTATTATTATTAACATATTAATGAATCAATGTGAAAGTCAAACCTCAGTATGTTGAGTTGACAGTTAGGACTCTTCAGTCCAGCACAGAGCTGCTTCACTCCTGAATCTTGCAGGTCATTGTTACTCAGGTCCAGCTCTCTCAGAGAAGAGTTTGATGATTGTAGAGCTGAAGACAGGATTTCACAGTGCTGATCAGTGAGATGACAGCTTGACAATCTAAACAGGATCATGAGAATCAATCCATTACATACTGTACACAATGTATACATACAAAATTAAACTGTATACATTGTCTCATGTTTTTGAGAAGAAAGTGTCTGCATCCCATTGTGATGTTCACAGCTATCTTCTATAAAGTTAATGACAACATCAAATATGGATTAACTAGTCAAGTCAAGTCACCTTTATTTATATAGCGCTTTTAACGATACAGACTGTGTGAAAGCAACTGTACAGCATTAATTAGGAAAATATTGTGTCAATAATGCAAAATGATAATAGTAAACACTCAATTTTCAGTTAAAGGCAGTTCATCATTGAATTACCTAACTAATGATGGATCATTGATAATGGCTACATTATCATTATATTTTCATTCAATATATGTATAGAAAATAAAGCATTCAAGAATCAGAATAACTGATTACAGGTGAAAGTGCACTTATAAAAGTGTTGGACGAAAAAAAACATGAATCTAAAAGTATAATATATAATGTATTTAATCACACATTATTATTAACATATTAATGAATCAATGTGAAAGTCAAACCTCAGTATGTTGAGTTGACAGTTAGGACTCTTCAGTCCAGCACAGAGCTGCTTCACTCCTGAATCTTGCAGGTCATTGTTACTCAGGTCCAGCTCTCTCAGAGAAGAGTTTGATGATTGTAGAGCTGAAGACAGGATTTCACAGTGCTGATCAGAGAGATGACAGTCTGCCAATCTGAAAAAAGAGAGGGCCCAGATATAAGGCATGCTGGTGTACCCACCAGATTACAAGACTTCAATATGAGCTTCATTGAGCTTCAACATAAGATAATGATTGTCCACGGTCTTTACAGGAAGACCCAGTAATTAAAATAAATATATGTCTTAAAAGTAATATTTTACACTCTTGTTTCTTAATAAATGACACATTTATTAATTCAAAACTTAATTGTGGAAAAAGCCTTATTAGTTGAATATTGTCATTTCATTTTTTAAATACGTGTTTTCTTCATAGTCTTGTATAATTATATTCAACTTATAATATTATTTCATTTTCACACTCACAGAGCTTTTCTGCAGTTTCTCACAGCAGGTAACAGTCTCCATTGACCCTCTTTTGATGACTTGATTTTATAGTTTTTTAGGTCCAACTCATCCAGCACCTCCTCCGACATCAGGATCATGTTTGCCAATGTTGAACATTGTGCAAGAGTAAGATTTTTTTCTTTCTTTCCAGACGTTAAAAATACCTGCATTTCCTCAACTACAGAGTTATTCTTCATCTCAATCAAGCAGTGTGACAGATTCATCCATCTTTCAGGACTGACATTGTTTTTTTGACCTCGTTTGAGGTTTTGGATTATTTTCTTGATGCTCTCTGGGTTGTTCTCTGTGTGTATCAGTGCATCCTGTAAGAGTCTCTGATTGGACTCCAGTGAGATGCCATGAAGAAATCGAAGGAAAAGATCCAGATGTCCATTTTTACTCTTCAAAGCTTTATTCATTGCTCCCTTCAGAAACACATCCAGAGGAACATCCTCACACTGAGTTCTGGACTTTCCTGTCAGGAACATTTTCAGAACCTCACTGTTCTTGTGTAAATAGCAGTAAAACACATACAGTGCTGCAAAAAACTCCTGAAAGCTGAGATGTACAAAGCTGTAAACCTTCCTCTGATAAATCACAGATTCCTCCCTAAAGATCTCAGTGCAAATCCCAGAATACACAGAGGCGTCAGTGACGTCTATGCCGCTCTCTCTCAGGTCCTCCTCATAAAACATCACATTGCCCTTCATCAGCTGATTGAAAGCCAGTTCAGCAAGTTTCACAATCACTTCTCTGTTGGATTGCAGGAGTTTCTCTGGATGTCTCTCTTCATACTTCTGGTTCCTCATATTTGTTTGAATGAGCAGGAAGTAGATGTACATTTCAGTCAGAGTGTGAGGGACTTCTGCACTGAGATCTTGTTTCAGGATGTTCTGAAGCACAGTGGCTGAGATCCAGCAGAAGACGGGTATGTGGCACATGATGTGGAGGCTTCTTGCTCTTCTGATGTGTGAGATGATTCTGCTGGCTTGATGCTCGTCACTGATTCTCTTCCTGAAATATTCCTCCTTCTGAGGGTCATTGAATCCCTGAATCTCTGTCACACGGTTGATGTAGTTGGAGGGGATCTGATTGGCTGCTGCTGGTCTGGTGGTGATCCAGATGAGAGCAGAGGGAAGCAGATCTCCT